GCACAACAGCAGGAAGAGCAGAGAGATGGCAGCACGTAGGCTCAAAGGTTACCCTCCACCTTAACATTACTCCTCTCTCCTAAATTATGCAGCAAAACACACCCATTCTGAGAAAAACTGCCAACTATTTAAGAATCTGGAAAAGTACTCATGGAAAGCGAGGGAAGCGAGATGGGAATAAAAAGGCAACAGCGCATGGGAAGGAGAACAGCAAACTTCTAGCCACCCTTTCCCACACTCAAAGGAAATGCAGAACCTGAAAGCTGCCAAAATTCAGGCGGCTTCATCAGATCTTTCTCAGACAGCAGTCAGCTTGCCAGTTTGCTGCTACTGAAAACCAAGACCTCCTCAACTTATTCCTCTTCAGCGTACATAATTCACGCTGATATTCAATACAAAAGCATTTTAAAATAAATACGGCCTGCAATTCGTGTGCTTGGCCTCACGCTAGGCATGCGCTACTGGCTATCAGCAACAAATCCCCTCTATGGACACACAAATTGTGCACACACAGGTTCTTCCTACCCTCCTCAGGCTCGAGTGACCCCGGTGTAAACAGGGTACTGCAAAAGGCAAAGCACCTGTCCCAGTTCCAAACATTCCAAAACGGCGCCTACTGCATGCAATCCTCCAAATGAATCCTCTCCTCTAGCACACAATTTCACACCGTTCTCCTTTCCATCCTCCAATCTGGATTTTAACGGGATTTGGTTCTGAGACTACCTATAGAGCTACTTGCCATGATGAGGTTTTTTGGATCTGTCGTTCTCCACCGAAGACCAGCACCATCCCATGCAGTTTGTTCCAACTGTACCAACACTAAAGTTTAGCAGTGACTGTTTTCTTAACCTCCATCTCATTTCTATTCTCTTCCAGAAGAATCAATTGATGACTCCAGAAACAGACTGCGAGGGTCTTTAAAATAATTTTTGGATGTAATCTGCCCATGCTGTCCACGCTGTCCACTTCAAACAGTGGCAGCTCTACCTGCGTGGAGTTTCTAGCTATTTTATGAGTCCTAGTAACAAGGGCGTTCACCTCTGCAGACGTTTCAATAAAACCCTGTAATGCTTCCTTACAGCCAGATCATCTATTTTTCCCAATGAAATCTCTCTCTCGCTCTTGCCACACCGTCTCAACCACCACTTGCGACCCCTTTGGAGTTTTATGGATAAACTAGTAGTTCCTGTATTAGTTTTAATGCAAAACTAGTACTGGGAGGTTTCTGCTATCCCAAATTCTCTCTCTGCTGCGGCCACTTCCCACCTCAGAAACTTCTTTCACGCAAAAGTGTAACTTGTGCTTGCAAACTCAAAGAGCACCCGATTTCCAGTTGTGCCTTACTACCCTACTCGACTACTCTGTCCAAGCAAGAAATAAGCTGCCTTGACTAATTTCTAGTTCTAATTGTTAATCAACTGAAAGAAATACCATTCTGCAACTGAAAAAGAATGAAAATAAGTCAGGTACGCTAGGTGCAATAATAAAGTTGCTGAAGTTAAACAATTAAACACAGTTCATTTTTTCTTATTTAATAAATAATATAAAAAAGTGAACCGGTGGTTGGGTTTTTTTTTTACATTATTGGAAAAAAACAGTTTCTTATCTAACTTCGGCAATAATACAAGCAATAATGAAACCAATTTAGACTGTTGGGTGGACATTGCATATCCCGCTTAAGTGGAGTCCAGTGCGCAAAGCCTCACAACTACTGATGACTTCTCCACTCCGGGGGTTGGTCTTCTTTTGTGGTGTTCTGGATCCAGAGATGACCTCACTGCTCATTTGCGCAAAAAAAAAGTCCTATTCCTTGTTAACATCGAAAAAAATCCAGAAAAACCGTGTCAAGTTTCAACAGCTGGTCAAATCATAACTACTTTTGTATCACCATACAGATGTTCAGTTATGGTTTTCACATCAACAGTGACATGGCATTTTATCTTTAGCCTTGTAGGAAAGAACCGAAACTCTATAGTATATGCACGTACACACACAGAGAGTACACTTGACAAAAACACTTTCATGTGGTTTACATTTCACTTTTATTTAATCCTCAAAACTGCCCATATTGCAGGGGTTTTCTTGATGAAATATGGAACTGAGCAATTAATTCTACAAAATTATGGTAAAAACTTGCTCATTTTTCTATCTTATTGCTAAGAAACTTTACAGGTGCACAGTTTGTAAAAATAACCCTTTTAAGACTGAATGCATACACATGCTACAGGATTTTTAAAAAAATGACATTAGCATAGCACCTCCAGATGGGGCAAATGCAGTGCTGAACACAGACAAAGTTAGAACTGCTCGTTCAGTTTACAGCTTCTAAATGGAAGAAATTGTTCAGTCCTAAAAGGGTTAAGTAGAAACCCTAATATACTTCTTTTTTCTAACAAAGCTGCCACTCAATCCCACAGTACAGTGCTTGAAAACAAAGTCAAAAGTCTGGCACAGGAAGGTATACACATTTGTTCAGTACTCATAAACACAGCTGCTTTTGAAAGAAAGTAAATAATATGGTTAATAATTGAAGAGCATCTTAGTTTCAAGATGGGCACCTCTATGGAGTCACTGAATCTACAAGTGGGTAGCTCACTTCCAATAGAGAATTTGTTTCAACTGGCATTAATATTTTGTATCTGGGGAATTCACTCATTCATGTCTTGAGTTTGTGTCTTTTCAGGTAACCATTCTCATCTTACAAGTCTGTGCAATGAAAAGGAGTACAGAATATCATTATTAACACAGTTGTGGGATGCCCTCAGGGCAAATAATCAGGAAAAACATCAGCAGCAGATTAAAGACTACGCTAGTGTTGAATTCTGAAATGCAGTTCCAATCAAAAGAAAACATGAAAAGGCATAGCTAAATTGGAGCACTTAATTTGCTTCTTCCTACAGTTGGAACTATAACAACATTCTGAACACAGACTCAATCTCTATGTATATAGAATTAACAGCAGACTTAACAGCTAGACTTGAACAGTTATAATAGTTTCATACTGAAACAATCTAAAAGTAGTTTTATCAAAATCTTGAGATATTGTTAATATCATGAAACAGCTCACAAGGCCAATAAACGTAACAGTATCACCCCACAGGAAAAGGTTCAGGAGGATAACGTATCTGAACAACTGGACGTCTTAACAACAGTAAGGACCTGGAAGACCATTTCTGTACTACAGAGTAACTACTGGCAACAATGGAGACACAAGCCCAAGGGAAAAATGGGGTTCAAAATGGTCTTGTAAGCGGAACATAGTCTCTTTTTTTCACCCACTCGGCTGTAGTGTGTAGAACAGCAGAAATCAGGCTAAGTCATTAGGTTCTTTACAAGTCAAGGAATATTGTATCTATTGGGCAAAATTATTGCAAGAAACTGAATAGAAAAAGTATTGCATTTATATGTAAAAATTTTAAAATGATGAGTATAAAAGCAGGTGTCAAGTTCTGAAAAGCTATTTTAGATCGTCTTTGAAGGTCAAAAGGCTTGTTATGGTTTGCCTACTGTGTGTGTATCACGGTTTGTTCTTGAATACCCTCTAAATCTGATATTAGACTGAATTAAAATAAGCGAGAGATATATTAGTGATGAAAATGTGTGGCTTTTGAATTAAGCCGTACTGTAAGATACTTATGTGCTTCGAACAAAAACACTGTGAAATGATTCCTGCCACAACACAATTAAAATGAAATTTTATAGCACATACAAAGGTAAACAGATTTGCAAGTAAATGCCAGTAAACAGTTTAAAACAGAGATAAGGCCACAATGAATTCTGCCCTTGGTCGCTGAATCGGAGATGAGGTGAGGCAGCATTCACCAGTGCTAAGAACCAGCATTGCAACTACGTCAGGGGAGTAAGTTCCACAGTACAGAAGAGCAAACATGAAGGCCTGTGGTAGCATCCAAGCACATCTGAAAAGGAGAGTGGCACTGATTCTACTATTAGCTGAACGCTCGATAACCGATGTCCTCCTTTACCCACGCTGCTTTCACACATACAACAGGGCACTAAAACAAGCAGAATGGAGGATCAGAGTACACAGATATGGTGCAGAGACAATGCTTTAAAACGGTGGTGGGTGTTGAAACCGGAACAAGCGATCAGAAATAAAACCCCTATGAAAACGGTCACGCGAACAGACAGGCTTGTAAGCAACGCGCCGCAGGAAGCCACAGGTTCACATTTACACAGCAGCTGCAGCTCTTGCTTCAGGGTACAGAAAAGGCTGAACGCACCGTAAAATTTGTGTTTTGGCTTTTGAAGAGGAAGATCACGCCATAAGAACTTGTCCTGCGAGTCTCTGCCCAGTTCTGTGACTACAAATGAACTACTGGGGCAGACTTTCAAATACAAATGAAGCAGGTGGGTCTACAAGGAGGGACAAAACGTGGCAAAGTCAAAATGAAAAACAAATGCAACAACCAACAAAGTCAAAGTGCAAATGAGCCTTGAATTTATGATGGAGAGCAGACCTGAATGTTGCACAAGCTGTTGGAAGGGAAAAGGATGGGAGGAGTTGACATCTTCATAGTGCTTTCACGATTTTCTATTTGCCCATTTCTAAGTAATAAAATTTACTTCTAATTATTATGGTATGATCACTTCACAATGAAAGTACATTCTCCATACAAGTGTTACACCAAAGTCTGGCCTAATTTACTGAACAGGATGAAGAAAAACATGCTGCTTGTGATTCTCAAGTGATGAAGGGCATCACCTACTAATCCCATTTGTAGCACATACTTTTCATGGTATTTTAGTTACATGCCAACAAGACAGAAGACATGCTGCCAAATGAAGTTATTTGGAACAATTCACTTTTGAAATAAAACATTTAACTTACACTTAATACAAATTATGTACAAGATTAGAAAAACCTGAACAGATCCTGAAACATTTTCAGATGCAATATGACTGAGCAAGGAAGAGGGGGAGTAACCCAGTAACAACCCTTCAAAAACACCAACATGTGACATGAACAATCATTAATATGACTGCTTGAGATGCCACGTTAAAAAGAACTCATGTAATGTTAGAACCTCATGAATTATCGCTATAAATACATATTTAAAAAAGGAAAACAGAAATAACTATTAACAATGACTGAAAACAGAGCACTAAAGTTAACATACATTGCATGTATTGCAGGCAAGGCAGAGGCATTTTTTAAAGCTTTTGCACAGACTTCATATAATCTTAAAAAAAATATGCTGGCCTTTACAAGGTTCTACTTGCTGAAATAAAAACAATTTCAGTTCATAAAAAGTCACAAGACTTCAGTTTAAAAAAAGGAACAGTTCCAGCCACAGACCAAAAATATATATATTTTTTTAAAACTGGAAGAGTATGGTAATTAGATTATACAAGCATGGTCAGGCTTGGAACCTGAATATACTTCAGAGCAAAAGCTCAGAGGAAAAAAAAATATAAACTATTTGGTAACAAAAGTGTACTATATGTTGTGATACAAAAAAGGTATGGTGAAAATGTACCTTTTATACTAAAGCTTATACAAGTTCCTTGGTCCATAAAAACTATGTTGTGTTCATGTTCTCTAGTTTGCTCAACATGTATCCCAGCCACATTTTTTTGTTTCTTGCCCATTAAAAAAACCAGCTGAAAAATAGATTTTCAATAAAGTTCTTATGTTTCAGATGTATTTTTTTTTTTTTTATTGTGGCTTCTATATTTAAGATCAGCACTTGCAGGTAACAAGGTTCAAATAATATCACCTAGAATGGAAAGGTGTTTTCCCATGAAACCACAAAAATTGTTCAGTTCTCTTGAATGTAGCACTTAAAAGTCAGTTAAAGTCCAGACAAACAACAGTAGTTAGGAAACTACAGTTGCCGTAGATGATGTGACATTGGTTGGATTTGTGCTGACGGTTGTGTAACTTCCCTCGCTGTTTGTATTTGTTTCACTGGAAGCCATGAGGCTTGAGTTGGCTCTGAGGATTGCTCCAGCAGCGCTGCAGTGTGGTCGCGGCCCCGGTTCCGGTGTGTATGTGAAGGTAAGGCTGGTGGAGTAAATTATGCCATCGTTACGGACCAAAGTTACTGGAACCTGGACTGGCTGACGGACCCACCTCCAACCCTCTCGAAATGCAGAAATGTCTGGAACAACACATAGCATGCTCTCTGCACATCTGAAAAACAGGAGAATCAACTAAGCACAACAAATAGAACAGAACTGAATAGGACAGTGCAGTTGGAAAGGACCTACAACGATCAGCTAGTGCAACTGCCCAACCACTTCAGGGCTGACCAAAAGTTAAAGCACAGTAAGGGCATTGTCCAAATGCTCCTTACACACTGACAGGCTTTGG